CCCCAAAACCCCAAAACCCCAAAACCCCAAAACCCCTTTCAACTGAAGTGCGATTGAAAATAGATTTAATCAGGTGGGAGTGAGAAATATGCCGATGTCTTTGCCTCCGCTTGATAGCTGATAGCCTAATGGAAACCTACTTTCTGTAGGATTTCATTTAAGTAAGATCGATACTTTGTGTGACCATTTGAGATTCCAGTGATGTCATATTGCTCAACCTTTACCCCCAAGTTCTCTATTCTCTTTGTAAGTTCTTCACCTAGATTAATAAATTAGATGGATTTAAAATAGTGCTTACTGAGCTTGTCCTGCCCAATTGGAATTTCAGCAGTTGCCAGTTCATAGAAATCAAGGATTCTATCGGAAGGAGTGTAAACTTGCACAAGCTTTCCGTTTAAAACATCGAACATTGGATAATCTATTTCATTGATAGTCGTTGCTCCACCTAACAAATATACATCTTGGATGATATCCTTGACTCCAAGTCTATGAAGCTCTTCAATGCATGACCTCACTACCTCTGTACCAAGGCTGAAAGAGACTAATGATACTCGAGGAAGGTACTCAGGATATTCTAGTATGAGAGCATGCGCGAGGAGTTTACCAGATTCCATTGCAATTTCTCTGACTCCATTAAAAGCCATGATATCACCAATTGAGATATCCTTAATCTTCTCAAACCTGATATTAACGATCTCAAGTAGGATCCTGTTAAAGATGCTCAAGTAGTCTTCAGCAGGCCATTTATATCCAAATACAGGCTTTTCAGGGTCAACATTATCCAATACTCCGTGCCAAGAGTCCTGTAAATCATCTCTCTGACTCAAGAAACCAGAAATACAGATAACTGCTTCAAAATCTGCATGCTCATCGATTGGTTTTTGGAAAGAATTGGGTGATAAGCTCACAAACTTTATATCTGTCGAAGAGCTCTTGTAAAAATCTTCCTTTATAATGTCAATAGAATTCTCTAGGGCTTCACATGGAACCATGTTTCCCTGACATGAAAAATTCCTACTCTTTTCAACACTTTGGAGACTCTCAGAAGTAGTTCAGGTTGGGTATCTTATTAAGGAATGGTCACCAAGTCCTGACTGATGCTCTTCAATAAATTTTTGATAATCATAAACCACAGCTTTATCATGACCATGGTCAAAACTGATGAAGTCCCAAAACTGGTCAATGTTGAAGAACTAGAATGTAGAATTAATTCGCGGGTTTAAATCTTTGGATCAAAAATAATTTGAAGGAAAATAATATCAGAAGGATTTGTAACTCAATAGATAACTACATTTTAAGGAAAAGATTCTTTAATTTCTTACATTCTCAACTTTGTTCTTCGATTTTTCAATCCTATATCAAAAATGAGCTTCTTCAGTCACAAAACTACTTGATCCAAAATTGGGCTCCGATTACTCATAATATCTCTAAACTAGCATATCCGAACTCCTTTCTTGCTTACGTATCCAATACCTCATCCTTGAACTTCCCGAACATGTTCTTATCTGCAAAGGCTATTTGTAGAGTAAGAACCAAAATGCAAAATAGTTTTAGTTTGGTGTAAATTCTAAAAATTCTCATTTTTAAATATTTTAAAATATTTCAAATTAAAAATCACTATGGGGTTTTGGGGTTTTGGGGTTTTGGGGTTTTGGGGTTTTGGGG